CCCTCTTCTGCCCGCCCGGGGCTGGGGTTTCTCACAGGCAGGCTTGTCCAGGAGACAACCAGCACCCCTGGCTCCTGGTGCGACAGAGATTGGGCTAGCTGGGCTGGACTAGCGTTCCCATGGCTCTTCTGGGCACACACAGAGGTCAGGCCCCTGCCACCCGGCACTGCACGCACGTCCCGCACAACTGGCTCCAGACCCGAGAGCTCAGGCTTGGAGCAGGAGTGCTGATGCCACGGGGGAGAGGAAGAGAAGCGATGCATTAAGCTGTTATTCAGGACTCTCTCTGCTAGCCAAGCAGGGGAACCTCTGGGGTAGGAGAAGGGGTTGTGTTTGGCAGCTGAGGCAGGATTGGAGTATCAGTGAGGACCGGATTACTAGGCCTGAGAGATGGGCTGGTCCGTGATCTGCTGCCTCCACTGAGCTCAGCCAGCTCCATGGCCCCAGATCTGGGGCCAGCCTAAACCTGGGCCCCCAGCGCATGTCAGCATGGCGAACACATGGGACTTACCCTGGGCTGGATTGGGCTGCTGGCTGATCCCCTGGCCCAGCTGATCCGTAAGCCACAGCTGCATCCGGATGAATGGCTCCCGGCCCTTCTGGGTCAGCTTGCTCCACGGCTTGGGCCTGGACAGCATGTCACTCACACTCCCCTGGGACAAGCCCAGCACCTAGGGCACAGGTTGAAGGGAAGGGCTGGGGCTACCGGGAAGCAGGCATCTGATACCCCCAAGAGGCTCCTTCAGACCCCCCAGGGGAACGCGGTCACCAAGCTGGAGGGAGGCGCTAGGCATGGGGTGAGCCCGGGGCGTCAGGGAGCTGTCACCGCCTCTGTGCAGGGGGCTCCTTATTGGCCCCACAAGTGGGAGAGACTGTGGCACTGCATGCCCAGGACACTGCGGAGGGAGATGGCCAAGAGGCTCCCACCATCCCACATCCATTCCCCCCGCACCCTCCTCCAAGGGTTGCGCTGTGCGCCCGCAACCCCAGGGGAGGATGGCATCACACCGGCCCCACGTTCCAGCCACGTGGATTCACCCCAAGCAGCAGCTCTAAGCAGCACAGGGCTCTACGCCCTACCGAGGTTGGGGGATGTGGCGAGGCAGCCTGATGGGCATTGTGTGCTGGGGAAAACTTCCCTATGGGCCCTGGCACAGGGGATCACCGAAGCAGAGTCCCACCCTGGAACGCACACGCGGTCAGCAGGGGCCAGGCCATGTCCCCAGGACAGCAGCAGCCTGGGTCCACTGCTCCCTCTCCGGGGAAGTACCTTCTCCCCGAAGATCCGCTGACAGATGCCATTCTTGGCCAGCTTCTCCTTCACCTGCCGGGTCAGCTCCAAGGTGTCCACCTCCCGGTACATGTACATCTCGTACTGCTCTGGTGTCAGCGGGGGTACCGTGGGCTTGAGAGTCCGGGGCACGTAGGCAGGGTAGTAGGAGAGGCGGCCGGCGCTCTGCGGCTCCGAGCTGCCCCCTTCTGTCTTCATCTCTGTGGTCTTGTGGGGTTCATCCTCCCCCAGGGCCAGCTCCTCCTCGGTGGGGGCACTCTCGCTTGGCTCCCCCCGCGGCCAGGCCCGGCCGTTGGCCAGGCTCGAGTAGCTTGAAGAGGAGGAGAGCGAAGGGGACACTGCGGTGTAGGGCCGATTCAGCACACTCCTCTCCGAAGCCCAGTGCTGGTCAAAGTAGGAGCCGGCATCGCCGATCTCAGACTTCACCTTGCGGATGATGCTCTGCACGAAGGCAGCAGGGGACAGGACTGTGAGTGAAGCCTGGGTGGAGCTGGGGCTGGTGCCCACCACCCCCTCCTCCTGCTTGATGTAGGCCTGGACGATGTTCTGGCTGACGGTGGCCAAGGTGGAGCGCTCCGCGGGTGGGGTGGGGATGGGCTGGCCGTTGCTGCCCGACTCGATCTCCAGCAGGGCCTGCTGCTGGGCCTGCATCTCCCGCCGCGCTTGCTCCAGGATGCTTTTAATGGCATCCTCCGAGTTGCTGGTGCTGGTGCCATTGGTGACTACCTGGGGGGCCGTGGAGCTTTTGGTTTCACCTGGAAGCAGAGAAAGCAGAGCAGAGTGAGTGGAGGCTCTCCCGCTGGGACCGGCTCCCCGTGAAGCACGAGGGCTGGGGCTGTGGGCAGCAGCCCGCACCCCGCTGAAGTGGGAGGCTTAAGAGGGCCGTCCCTGAGGGAACGGGGATCAAAGCCTCCCTGCTACTTCCAAGGGCACAGCTGGGGTGGCCTCTCCGACCTGACGGGTGCCATGAGCCTGGCGGGGTAGAGGCTCAGCCTGAGAAAGCCCCGCCTCCATTCGTGACTCACCGCAGAGCCCTGGACAAAGCACACTGCCCTCTGTGCCTCAGTTTCCCTGTCTGGAAAAAGGGGCTAAGGCTACTTTCTCTTCTTTTGAAAGGAGCTCCAAGAGCTATCAACCACAAGTCCAGCCACTGCTTGGCAGCGCGGGATCACTACCTGGGCAAAGCCCAACCAACAGGAAGGATCTGCTGGTTACAACGCCCTTGGACGACCCAGGTGGTGATGTGTCTGTGGGGTGCGTGTCTGCATAGTGCCGGGCAGGTAGGTCGGGCCTCCCATAGTCACAGAATCATAGAAAATTCAGGTTGGAGGGACCTCAGGAGGTCACATCTAGTCCAACCCCTGCTCCAAGCAGGACCAGCCCCAACTACATCATCCCAGCCATGGCTTTGTCTAGCCGGGTCTTGAAAACCTCCAAGGATGGAGACTTCACCACCTCTCTGGGGAGCCTGGTCCAGCGTTTTACTGCCCTCCTCGTGAGAAAATTCTCCCTAATGTCTAATCTAAACCTCCCTTGCTGCAACTGGAGCCCATTGCTCCTTGTTCTGTCATCTGCCCCCACTGAGCACAGTCCAGCTCCAGCCTCTTCCAAACCCCCCTAATACGAGCAACCGTTTAATTCTGACTACCGCTTTTGCCCCTTCAATCCTGCAGTCCCTGCTGCGGGGATCTCTCTGCAGCACAGGGCCTGGCCTGCAATTTCCTTGCTTTGCTTTGTTTTAACTTCCCTCTGCCTCATCACGTCAGCACATGAGCCACCACCCCTGTGCTGGCCGTGACGTTCCTGCTGTGCGGGCCCGAGCAGCGCTGTGCGGTGTCCGCGCTGGCTGCTGGAACCAATTTGCTGCACCCCTGGATTATCCGGGCAGCGGCACATCTACACCCACAAGGCACTGGGGGGTCTCACACTGCGCCTACTTTTCAGTGCATTGTTCTTGCATCTTCCCCTAACACGAGCCCAGGGGAAGGGGCTTACTTCTGTCCAATTCATAACCATCACCTGGAAGCAGGCATCCAGCATGGAAAATTTCAGCACCACTGGGGCTGATTTGGAAAGTCCTAAGTCTAGGAAATCAGTGGGGTGGGGTGGACACGGGAGACCGGGAGGGACACCTCCTCCACCTTCCTCTACAGCTGTGATGGTAAAATAGCGCTGCCCCACGCTTGATTATCTGTTAAAAGTGTGAAACTGCAAGAAAAAGCCTAACGATGCCATCTCTTCCCCAACACACGACGACTCTGTGCCTTGTGCTCAGCAGAGGGCAGCAGACACCGTGCCAGCCTCTGCAGGAGGACTGGGCCCCGAAGGCTGGATGTGCATCTTGTCGGGACCTAAGGATATCAGAATAGTCATCTGAAGCGGGAACTGGCAGGAAAGGGACCACAGAGCCAACGTTTTCAAACCCGGGGACCTGGAGCGAGGCCCTCAACTCAGCACGTGCTGTAGGCACCTACAGAAAGCCGGAAAACCCTGTCCCTGCAAGTTTAACAAACTGTCCGAGGGCCAAAGGCAGCTAGGGATTTTGGGGGGTTTCTCCCATTCGTGACGTCTGAAAAGGCGTTGTGTTCTGCAGACAGCGCCCAGCTGAGCCTCTGGTGACTCATGTCAGGCCCCGAAGAACCCGGAGGCATGAGAGATCCCTGCAGAAAATCCTGGCTCTCGCCTAAAAACCGACCCAGGTGCTAATGATGGAAAGGACATGGACAGATTTCTTAATGGACGGTTTCTCCCTCTGTGCATTTTCTAGCGGGGGGTCATGGACAGACACATGGCACAAAGGAAAGGGGGCAGAAGGGCTCCCTGCACACCAGCTGCTCTGTGGTAACTGCTCCGTGGGTCTGCTCTACCCCGTGGCACAGGGGAGCTAAGCAGTGATAGCGGCTGTTGCACGCGGGGGCGAGTAGTCCCGGTTCAGCTCTCACTTACCGCAGGCTAACAGTGGACACACAACACCGGCTGCCGTGTGGTAAGCTCCCCACCTTTACCTGGGCATAAAACGTGCTTGTCTGTCCATGCCCTTGAACGGTTGGGGGCAGGATCATTTTCTGGCTCTCATGCACTAGCACGAGGCTGCTATGTGGGTCTGATACATGGCTTGGGAGCGCTCTACCAGACAAGTTCATTCCCACTGGGGTTTAAGGGATTAAAAAAAAAAAATCCTGGTGCCGTAACTCTTGACCTTCATTTTTCAAAGCCTAGTTCTTAGGCATCTGTCCCCAGGAGAACGGGACAGCAGGCGGCCCAGGGGAAGGGGGCGTGAAGGGAGTGAGATCCGAGATGGTTCCTGGCCTGGCTGGTGCCTGCACCCTCGCCTGGCCCTGAGGACAGAGCTGTTTCCAGCTCGGTGACTCCCGCGGTGCCTGTAGCACCTACCTCCCTTCTGGGACTCGATCTCCTTCTTGGCCTGCTCCAGGATGCTTTTGATGGCGTCGTCGGAGCCGGTCTCTGGAGTTCGAATCCGCGGAGTGATGCTACCTGATTGCAGAGGCGGGAAAGCAGGTCTGTCACTGGTGCTGCAGCTGCAGGTGCCATCGGGGGTCAGGAAGGATTTATTGCTGCTCGGCGCAGCTGTTTGCACGCATGTCAGGTCTGAAGGAGCCGTCACTCCCGACCAGTTGCTGGCTGGAGTGAAGAGCCCGGGGACCTGCCCAGCAGCTTTCACCTCTTCCGTTCCCTCCCTGGCGCAGCACGGAGGCACCGCTCCCTTCACCTTCTTGTCTATGAGGCACAGGGATCCTGCTCCTAACGCAGGGCGGGGTGGGCATGGGCACAGGGGCAAGCTCTGGATTGTGGTAGCCACAGGGCAGAGGAAACATCAGGGCCAATTCTCCACCCTGGGGGCATGCGGTAGGGCCCTACCTCCTTGCTCCGGCAGCTCAAGGGAAGGCAAGCCAACTGCAGCTAGCTCAAAGGAGGCAGGGGCTTGCTAGGGAGTATCTGTGCATCTGCTCTTACCTCCCAGAGGTAAGAGCCCAACCACGTCCATCAGGACATGAGTGGGCAGGTGGGTGGTCACCCCAGGGCAGCTGCTGCCCGCAATGCACCCACCCTCTTCACCTTGCTGTACATTGTCAGTCTGCCCAGGCCCAAAGAAAGGGGCCTGATTCCCAGCCCCGTAATGTAGAGTCTGAGGCCTCCTTTCTAGCAGTGCAAACAGGGACCCCGGGCCTACCCTGCGTGCCCTCTGCATGTGCCCCCCAGTCCCCTGCCTGCCCTGTCCCGCTGCTGGTGGGAGAAGACCCTCAGTGCCACTCACCTCTCTGGCGCACCTGAATCGTCCTCAGTGCCAGCACGTTCTGCTCGTCCGACAGGAACTGCTTCATCTTGATGAAGGGCTCCTTGCCCTTGACGGTGAGCTTGCGCCAGGGCTTGGGCCGGGCCAGGATCTCGCTGACGGAGCCCTGCGAGAGCCCCAGCACGTAGTGCCCGAAGACGCGCTGCCCGATGTTGTGCTTCAGGAGCTGCTCCTTCACCTGGAAGGCGATCTCGGCCGTGTCCAGCTGTTCCTCGTCAGCTGAGCCCGTGCTACTTCCCTCTGACTGGTCACTGGGTGGGCTGGCGTCGCTGGCAGGTGCGGTGGGTGCCGGCGGGGCAGTGCTGGCGGGCAGCACGCCGCCCTTGGTGGGGAAG